TACTAAAAAGTTTAAATCAGAGTTAAAGAATTATCTACATGCTCATTCCTTCTACTCTTTAGATGAATACTTCAATGTAAATAGAGAATGATGTAAAATTAAGTTATATTAATTTTTAAGCTAAAATTGCCTGTACTTATGTATGTAACCTTTTGACTTGTTCTGTATCCAAAGGTACTAACCTGCTTAGGATTTATAGAATGTAAATAAATTCAATTCAATTCAATACAGTAAGCCCTCCTTTAAAGTTTCTTTGGGGAGCAGTGGATTTGAACACTAAGGAATTTAATTGATGAAAATGTATCATTGAGGTTTTTGACATGGGATCACTGGAACTGAATGTTAAATGATGGGAAACATTAAATAAGGGTTGCATTATCTTTTTTTCTATTGCTACCCTGGGTAGGTGGATTTTTTCAGTTTACCTAATCCTTCCAGCTGCATTATTGCCCTGGGGTCGACTCAGCCTCTAACAGAAATGAGAACTAGGAATATTTCTGCTTGTAAAGGGCGACCAGCACATAACGCTGGCAACCTCACCACCATCTGTGAGCCAGTTGTCTAGAAAATGTGGGAACCTCAACATCTCACAACTCTATGGGCCTCCACGGCCTGTTACAGGGATACCTTTGCTTTTCGTTGCTACCCTGGGTGTGAAGTTTACATGGTATAAATTGTTCCAGATACTGGCACTCTTGCTGCTGATTGCAAGCAGTGCCTGCTGGCTCTACAGTCTGGAGATAGTGTTATCCCTCGCCTGGAAGTGATGGAGCACTGTGCCATTTGCCTCTTGAATTTGGGTGAATGGGAATACTTGACTGGTCTGGAGAAACGTTGGAACTACTTTGAAATTGCTGCTGCTGTTGCATATGCCTGTCTGGACATAGCAAAGTATAAAGGGAACAAGAAAGTGTCCAGAGATGCCTGGGATATAGGTAAGAAAAGAGAGTGTAGTATTATGATCATTGTATTCAAGTCTGCAGCCAGAAACTTCCATTGTAATTTTTGCTTTGTCTAATGCTTGAAATTCTAGTAAGTTGGTTCAAATGGTAATGATTATTTCTTGTATTTGGAAGATGCTCAATTCGAGTATCAACCAGGGCACAAACTATCCTAAGGTTTTCGTGGCTTTCCACAGTCCTGACAGGCAAATTCTGGGATAATACTTTAAATTATGTCACAATTTCCTTTCACATCCTTTCCAATTCATTATTTACTATCCAGTCACTTGATGCTGTCATAATATGGTACCAGTAGGGAGTAATTCAGGCAGCATGATGAAAAAAGAAAACCTTATTGAAATATTAGTATTTCTAGACACATTAAAATTTTGGTTGCAGAAGCTTGTCTCGTGATCAAAAATGGCAGGCTATGGGAATGATGTTTTGAACGTATAGCCATGTCTAAAAGTATTACAGTAGTGAGATAATAAAACTAAATTAAGTTAATCCGTCAGTAATGGCATAAAAAGTAGGTTGTGTATACTTTCTGTAAGAGGACAGCAGATTTTTACATGATAGGTATGTCAGTGTAAACATTGAACATAAGCTTGTAAGAAAGTGCTTTACATTAACCATCTAAATAATGAGAGTACAGTCTTGTGAGATGGACAACATGTAGTTTGGTAGGTAGGTACCAGTGTTTTATAGCACCTTCTTATCTGCATCTACATCGTAAAGTCGTAGGTACCCTTCATCTGCTGTGGAAATGGATAAATATTGCATAGAGTTAGATTGGGATACCACTTCAGTACTATGCTGGAGTATGTAATGTAGGAGCACCCGGTCTTTGGCTTCCTGTACTTTGGGATGCCTCAGTCAAATTGTGCCTTAGGCGAATAAGCACCTCCATATACTTCTTGTTGGCTGTAGCACTTTCATGGTGCATAATACCGTGCCAGTTACAGATTGCTTCTAGTGGTTTCCTTTCAAGTGATCTTGCTGGAGCTTTGTGGCTCTGGATGACAGTGGAGACTTCCACATGAAAAATTGTAATTTATTTATGGATTGTACAGGAGATTTTAGGTTTTGTTATCTGTGCCACCGTATCAGAGAAAGCATAAATTGTTACCTGCTGTATTGATGAGTTCACCATTGATCTTCGTGTGGTTGCATTGTTCCTGAGTTTTTAGTATGATATGTTTGAATGCATTTTCAAATGTTTACTGAGAATGATGTGGTACCTATGAATCAGAATTCCAACTTTCTCTGCAACTTTCTGCCATCTGAAGATTAGACTGCACAGCTTCCTTCACCTGCCTTACATTATTGTGGTTCCGTGATGCAGGCTGTCTATTGTGCACATCTTAATAACAATTTATAACCATCCTTGAATATCTGATACTATTTGAATATGATGAATCTCATTTGTTTCTGATATGCTGTTCCTAACATCTGCAGTGTTTTTGTTACCAATATTTCAGATTTTTGGCAAATTGTGATATTAATTGATGCTTGAAGTATTCCAGTTCCCTTTTTCAAAATTTACCATGCTCCATCTTTCTTCTGGGATCTGTCATGCTTGCCAGTCTTACTAGCACCTGGTCACTTCTGAGTGTTGGTAGGGTGCATGCACGGGTAGATTCCATGCCTGCCTGAATATTGATTTGTTCTGTCCCTGAATATTTTGAAGCTACAGAATATCATAAAAAGAATTTTCTTGCCAAGTGCTGGGTAAGAGATGAAGCCTCCAACTTGAAGCCCAGGGATGTGGTAGTGTGCTATGTGGTCAGGGCCTGTGCACATCTCATGAAAATGGAGTAGTGGTGAAATAATGCTTAGCAGGAGAAGACCAAAGAAATTCAGCAAAAGACGTGCTCCAGTGCCATTTTGTCTACCACAGATCTCTTATGAAGCCAAGATCTGCCTTAGCTATGGCATTGTCAACCAGTCACATACAATGCATGTAAATACAGAAGATATGATGGACTTTTTGTATGGATATTCTTTCAGATGGTGTTAATTTGTTGTGATTAATTTTGGCACAGTAACATTAACCCTTTGTGAACTGACTATACAATTTTGTGTATGCAGAAGAAGAGGCTTTTTTTTTTAATTAAGATGAAACCATTGTTGTGACTTCTACATAGTCTTCAAAGATGAATATTTATATTTCCTACCATTTAGGCAGATACTTTGTTAGCCAAGATCATTTTGCAGTTGATTAAGATGAAACCATTGTTGTGACTTCTACATAGTCTTCAAAGATGAATATTTATATTTCCTACCATTTAGGCAGATACTTTGTTAGCCAAGATCATTTTGCAGTTGATGGAGATACTTCTTGTTCTTTGCAGTGTTGCCCATATTTGGTCCCAGTCCTCAGCAGAAGCGGACAGCATCAGGAACAACAACGCTAATTCATCGTGACTCTCCAAACAACAGTTCCACTCATACTCGTGCCACATTGACACTATTTTTAGCAAGACTGCGAGACAGTACAGCGCTTGCTGTTGTGATTTCCCTGCTAGCTCGTCTTCATAATGTGTTGAGAGATGAGCCAAGTTTGGAGTTAAGTGTGGATTATGCTGGATTGTGGCCAGCAGTTGTCAGCAAGTAAGCATGGTGACAGATAAGGGTTTCTCAAGTATGTATGTAGAGTGAGTTCTTTGAAAAGTGGCTTAACATATTTGTGTATAAGAATGGGCTGTTCCATGCATGAACAGTGTGAGTGACGACTTCAAAATAAAATCTGTGATGTAGGAATAGGATATAGTAGGAATTACAACAAAATATATGTGGAGGGTGTAAGGAAATTATCAAAATCACGTGGAAGTACTTTTACAGGCCAGCAGGTATTCACTTTAAATTCATAAGAACCAAATGAGAGAACCAGTATATTTCTTCTCTGTAATGCTTCAGTCAGCACTGCTAATCAGAATTGGGATAAACTCATTTTTAGTCTTTGATGGAGCCTGATACCTCTCATGTTATTATATGGGTGGAATTGGCTCTTGAATGATGTAAATTGAGGTGACAGACATGTTTCCATATTAACTTATAGGAAGTAGTTCATCAGTGTATATTGTCATCTAGGGTTGCTTGATCGTTGATGTTAGGTACAATTATTGTTCAAAAGTTGCTAAATCATGAATTGTCATGAACAGTTATTATTAAGGAAACATGATGTAAAGGCGCTTAGTTCTTAACAAAATTTATGATGTTTCTCTTACTCATTTATGAAGTGAAGGGAAATGTATACCGGAACTGTATCAGATATGTGTACATTTATTTTTAACTGGGGGCCTTTTCTTGGGGGTAAAGGAGCCGGAACGTGAAGCTGACCCACCACTCACCTGCAACTAGTGCCAAGGTCAAGAAACCATGGATATATACATGCAGTCCTCTGTATGTCTTCATGGCATAGTGCTTAATAACTTTACCACCATTAAGACTATATGATACACATTATTTGGGTATGACTGTAGCTTCATATTCTCCGTTCTAGACATGTGAGGTGGTATCGGAAAGTTCCTGGACTGTTATTGTTGTAACTGCCTCGGTGAAAGTAAATGAGAGGGGAGGCCAAGGTCACACTTGCAAAAGCCTATTGCATCAGTCTGCCATGTGACAGCATGCTGTGAACACGTATTGTTCTTACACGAGTGCTTTTTCGACTACGTGTTTTATTTTTCCTGCGATGGATGGCAAAATCGAACAACATCTGCATCAAGTTTTGCATGAAACTCAATAAATCCACTACCGAAATCCTTGAAATGCTTTGTGAGGCTTTTGAAGAACATTCTTTAAGCTGGACAGCAGTTTTTGAGTGAAATTCATGGTACAAGGTTGGTCAAGTGTCAGTTGACAATGATGAACGTTCAGGGTGACCAAGCACCAGCAAAATGACAGAAAATGTTGGAATATCTGGAACTCATTCATGAAGACCGTTGCTGAACAATCCATGAGCTCACAGACACTGTTTGGATCAGTTATGGAGTTTGCCCAGAGATGTTAACAGAAAATTTGAACATGTGCTGCATTGCAACTTCATCACAACAACACACCCACCCAATGTCCCTGAAAACTACAGAGTTTATGACTAACAACAAGGTTATCATTCGCCATCCTTCCTACTCGCTGGACTTAACTCTGTGATTTTGCTTTGTTTACCAAATTGAAAATGATTTTTGCATTCTCAATTTCTGAGCTTCTTTTGAACCTATTATGCCATTCAGACACATTTATTCTTGATAAGCATTCTTCACCATACACACTTTTCAACATTTAAAACTTCTCAATAGCTTTTTTTTTTAATTTTACACAAAACTTAAATCACTGCTCTTTGTTCCTTCGACATGATAAAAAGCTGACTTTACCAAAACAACTGTAATCCTCATATGCATCAACCTAAGAATTTGAAACTTGCACATCTTATAAATAGACATTCTCTCTAGCTAGTCCCATTCATCCCTGATAGATGATGGCATTAGTAATACTGCTGTAATAGTGTCAGTTTGGGAACTGTATTGTCACACTGTGTAATCAAGTCACAGATATTAAGATGATATTCTTTCAGGTAAGAGGAGCTATGATTGCTCACTCAGTAATGTGACTTGCCACAGATTCATTTACTGGGATTCAGTTTCCACTACAGGGTTGTTCTGCACCATCATGTGAGCCTACACAACTTCTATTTAGTAGGTACTAAGCCCTATTTGCAGGGAAGGAGGCAGTAAATCAGCCAGACTTGACATTGGCCTCTTACCACCACCTAATGACCCAGGTTCAGAGTTTTACTTCCATATCTGCATATTTGGACTGAAGAGAGATGAAGTGACAGGAGGTTGGAGAAAACTGCATAATGAGGAGCTTCATAACTTGTACTCTTCTCCAAGTATAATTAGAATGATCAAGTCAAGGAGGATGAGGTGGGCAGGTCATGTAGCATGAATAGGGGAGACGAATGCGTATAGGATATTGGTGGGAAAGCCAGAAGGAAAGAGACCACAGGGAAGACCAAGGCATAGGTGGGTGGACAATATTAGAATGGATCTTAGAGAGATAGGATTGGATGGTATGGATTGGATAAATCTGGCTCAGGATAGGGACCAGTGGAGGGCTCTTGTGAACACGGTGATGAACCTTTGGGTTCCATAAAATGCTGGGAAATTCTTGGGTAGCTGCAGAATTGGCGGCTCCTCCAGAAGAGCTCAGCTCCATGAGTAAGTAATTTGCTGTATGCCTCCACAGTATGGTGCTTAGGTAGGGGGGAAACCTTAAACCTTGAAAGCTCTCTTCGGTGTAAGTTAATTGAAAGTGTATTTTGCATTCTGCCTTATTCTTTAGTTATAGTATTTTAATTCATTGTGTGTTTCAGTGCAAATTCTTATAACGTGAGATCAGTTGGTGAGGCTCTTTCACAGCTGTTGCTGCAAGCATTGCAGTTTCATCCAACAAATGTATCCTGGCTGAAAGTTATGGGAGACCTTAATTTTGGTACGCATTTTATAATTCTGCTACAGCTGAACATATGATTAGATCATTAGATCTTTGTAAAGAAGCCTCACCATTAACCATGAGATCCAGTTCACACTACAACCTGTTTCCCTGTCCCTTGGATTCCTGAATAATTTGTTGCCACAAGAGTTCCCTTTCAGAGCTCCAGTTTTTAGTTTTCTTCCGCATATGTGTCTAAGAAACCATAATCTTGATTGGAATACTTGTATTAAGAGTAATAATTAAATGAAGGGAGTAAATTATGCACTTCATTATGTTATCTTCATTACAGAATAATTGTTAACACCATCCAGTGTGATTCAGTTTGTAGATATTTATCGCCTTTACATGTTTCGATCAGCTGACCATCTTCAGAAGGCATAAGTTCAACATGTTCAGGAACTGCTGTTACAAAGTTCATAATTCTAGTGTGACAGACCAGAATGCAGTTACTATATTGAAAGTATTTGAAATGAACCCACAATGAGATAGGAGCCAGGATAGTGCAGTCAGTATAGCGACTGGCTACTGGCTGGATTGGGGGGGGGGGAGGTTGGAGTTCAAGTCCTCGTAGGGTCAAGAATTTTCACCTCTCCATGTGATTCAGATAGGTTCTAGGGCCCACCCAGCCTCCTATCCAGTGGGTACCAGGGGCTCTTTTCAGTGGGTGTAAAGCAGCCAGGGCCTGAAGCTGACCACTCACTTCCAACTAGTTCGAGGTCAAGAACATGTGGATCTGTACATCCACCTCCCATACGCCTTCATGGCATAATGCTTAGTTAATTATGCATAGGAACAACTTCTTTCACACACTTAGAAAACATCTGTTGCCTGTTTGTCTGATTGTTTCATCTCTAAAACTACTGATAAAATTTCAGTTAAATCTGCATTTTTGTGTCTACACTGAAAGTTATCAAGTAAATTTAATTTTTATTTTTATCGGTTAACTGTAAACCCTACTATATGAGAATCTCATACTGAACCCACTTTTTTCAAGTAGCTCATTATACAAAAAAGTGAACATTAAATATACATCTCATGAAACCCTGTAGTGTTTATTTGAACATTGTCAACAAGGTGAATGTTTAACAGTATACAAGGAAGAATGTTTTATGATGAGCTAGTGTGAATAACATTGTACTTGCTTCACTTTTTATTTTTATCCAAGTTTCCACCTTCAATCTCTTGGGGTGCTTGCCGTGATATTGAATGGTGGAAGTGAGATGGCTAGGTAGCTCAGTTTTACTGGTGAGTGAATGAGCGCTCAGCTGTAATGGGTTGTGTTTCAAGTGAAGCTTGGTAGGAGAAAACATACAGGTGTCAAAAACAAAATAAAATTTTGTTTACTCAATACTGAAACTATAATTTTGTACCTTTGGATACAGTATTACACACAAACTTGGAATGGCTGTTTGCTCAGTAATAGGTTGTCCATTTTAAAATTACTGGCTCATATCAGTGAAGTATGGGATTGATATTTCACAGAATATTTAATGCAGACCAGAGAAATTATGCTGTAAACAAGTGCTGTACTAACTGATGAAGGGATTATTCTGTTTAGCACTAAAATTCACTTTAAATGTAAGCTAGATCTTAAAGTAAGTATAGAAGTGATAGTGTTAAAGGTATGTACATATTTCTTGAAAGCTGTTTGTTAGTAAAGCTAATTTTTCCATACATTTTCTGAGGGTATTGAGAAGTTAGAATACTCAGGGTCATGTGGTATTGTTTAAATGGGTCATTGACACAGAGGGTAGGAGGAAGTATCGTTTAATTTTTAGCTGTTGATGCAAAGAAGTGGAGTTTAATGGTGCCAGATGTCATAAATTAGTTGGTTATTCCATATATGTCATTCTAAGATAGGTACAAAAACATGTGTTTTATGGATATATGATTAGTACCACTCAGTACAAGATGGCTATAGCCAAGGCATCGCTGCAACTGAGATTGATGTAACCAAGTTTGACTGTATGTCTGTTTCTACTAGTCTGCCATTAAGCAACCTGCATTTTCATTGAAGAACAAATGAACACTCTGGGGTTTACAAAGTTTAAACAAGGTCTCCAGACATTAAGTAGTCAGAATGAAAAGCAAAACTTTGTCACATCAATTTTTTTGGGTGTAACATGGCACTTGACTTAGTGCTAATGTCCCTTGTCATGCTGATTAATTCACAAGACTGGGATCCAGATTTCCTTTCATAGAACCAGAAGCAGCATGTGGCATTACAGCAGGGATTGCCAAGAAGGCTGTCGGATTGGGAAACAGACCATCATAAATAAGAACCCTATGCCTGAAGAACCAAGGAACTGTTAAAACTAAATAGAATCCAGTTATTGTGGATGACATGACTACTTCCAGGACCCTGTCACATGAAAGGACAAAAAAAAAAAAAAANAAAAGAAAAAAAAAAAAAAAAAAAGAACTCAGTGGTTTTAGTCCGCAAGTGAGCTATAACGACTGCTGCTCATCCGCAAAGTTAAGTGCCAACTTTTGCAGATAGAGGGTGTTGCATGGACAGTGCAATGAATCCCCACATCCGTTAATTTCGGTTTTATAGACCGGAGCCGCTATTTCCTTGAAATAGCTCCCCAGTTTTCATCATGAGGCTGAGTGGACTCCATTCCAGACCCACTACTTCTCAGAAAAAAACCTGGTAGTGCCGGGAATCGGACCCAGATCTCTGGATCTGGATTAATGAATAGTCCCATTTGTGAAAGGTGCCTTGACAAAGATGAATCATCCACATGTATCCTGTGTGATTGTGAGACTGTAGCTTACTTAAGGCTTCATCCCCTGGGTCACCACAGTGTAGAGCCAGGTGACTCTCATGACATCCTTTTACGGAAGGTGCTACACTTCATTCAAAGTACAGGATTGTTCAAAGGCTGAAACAGGGGAATGTACAGTAGATCACTGATGGTCACAGTGCAAGGGACATTCATTCATTCATTCATTCATTCATTGTCCCTTGTCAAGTATCTGGGATCTTAATTCCCAAGTTCTTTTCATGGGAATGAGAGGAGCCCTTTGAGATTTATAGATCATTTCATTTCTGTCATCTTGGTATTTCAACCAGTGGGTCACTAAAACTTTCCTCTGAGGGAAAATCAGTGACATACTCTCAAGTCAGAAGGTTTCTGTATTCCTTTCTACTTTGGATAATTTTCCAAACTGACAGTGACCATATTTCACTAAATGTTATCGTGTCTTTGCCAGGCTTCAAACTGGGTTGGGTTTGTTTGCTTACATGACTGTTCACATTCTTTTGTTTATTTCTATTGTTGAATAAATTATATGCTTCCTGATTTAAATACTAGTTGATTTTGCTAATTAAGTTAAATTGTAACAAAAATTGTATTAAAACTGATGCGATTCAATACATCTTTAATATTCTTTTGAAAATTTAAATATAACATCTTCCAAATTGTAACAAGCTATTGCAGTGAAAGGTAAAGAGGAAGGTTGTTTGAGTGCATAAGTTAAATTAATTCAGAAAGATATTCTTTATGAGACTTAAATCAGTGATATCACACATTTAATGTTACAAAGGAGAAATAAGTTTTAATTTTCGTGCTGTAAGATTTTATATTAGGAATGTTTAAAAATTAAGGCCAGCAAGGTGTGTGAAATTGTAAAGAATGTATTTGAAAAATATGTGTATTCCAGTTTGGAGTGGACATTTCTGCTCTTGCTACTTGTATTTATTGAATAAAATTTTGGTTTTCAGTATTAGGACATCATGCTATGTCACTGAGATACTATCTTGAAGCAGCTATTGTGGTCAGTGATTTCTTCAGTCAGCCAATACCTAGAGCTGCAATAGATGACCATGTATACAAAAGGATGATAAAGTGCTGTATTCATCTACAGTGCCACACACAGGTAGATGACAGTCTTCTGTTATAAGTAAGGGGTGAAGTGCAGTTTTATATTACACAGCATGTGCATTTAATTAGAGATATTCATCACTAAAACCACATGTTTCATTAAAGGGTGACAATTATGTACCAAAGATAGTTATCATAAATTTCTGTAAGGGTTGTTTGGGAAGTTAAGAATAAACATTTTATAAGTTTGATAATATTCTGGCCATGCCATAGCTCAAGCGGTTAGTAGCTGGCTTCCCTACCGCAGCGGCCCAGGTTCAATCACGGGTCTGGTCAAGTGGGATTTGTGGTGGACAGAATGGTGCTTGGGCAGGTTTTCTCCAAGTATTTTGGTTTCCCGTGCCAGTCTTCATTCCACCAAATTCTCCATCATCATAATCACCCGGGGCAGGCTACAATAGGCCAATCAGTGGCCGCTGTGCCTAGTGAACCCAGTTGGGCTCCACTCCCCAATGAGTGAATTAATTGAAGATAATCATAGTTTCCTTATACTAGCATGGGTGCAGGTAAGGGGGGGGGCCAAGGAAAACCTCTTCCTCCCCTCCAACCCATAGATTTAAAGAAAAGTACAAAGTGAAGAAAAGAAGGAAATTTACTGTTAATATAAAAAATGAGAGTATTCTGAAAAAAATATTCTTTTGTCTTGCATACTCTGGAGCAGTTAGTAAAAACGGTCTTAAATGGCCTTTTCCTGGAAAAAAATTCTGGTGACAAACATTTATACACAGTGTGTGTCAGAACTCAGATGGGTAGGTGCTGGATTCTTACATTGGAGACCTGGGTTCAATTCACAGGGAGTCTGTGTAAGTGCTGTACCTTTGGATTTGTTATTTTCTTTAGTTTCTCAGATCCATAAAATGTGGAAGTGTTTTACTGGTAAAAATAACACTATGGAGTTTGGCAATGTATTTTCCTTCAAATATATATAGTGGAATACATTGTTATGCTGTAAAATTGTTGTGCCCTTCATAGTTGATCTTGGTTACTACAAAGTTTGAGAAAGCATACACAAAAGGAAAACTAACTTGCAGGCCCACAGTTGCCAGAGGAGGGGGAAGGACTGTGGAATAAGGAGACTCACTGTGACGTTTAGATGAGTTGGACAGGAAAAAGTCTTTGGATTGATTATGCAAGCTAAAGGCAGCTGGCAAGAGGTCATTGGTCACATACACTTGGACCCCATGTGTGGTCTGAGTTTTGTTAAGAGTGTTGAGCAGCTGTAGTTGCTATAGATGGAGGACAAAGACCAGGCAAGCAACGAGCCAACAGAGAACATCAATCAGCATACTGTAACTAATTTTGTTTCTGTATGAGCTTCGTATCCATAAGGATGAACCACAGATGGACTACCTGAGGGCAGACATAGTAGTGGGATGAGTCATGTCTGGCCTTTGAGTGGAATTGGGTATCTGGTTTACAAGTGAGACAAGAAAGAATCTCAGATGATAAGGACAGATTATTTTAAGGGGGCTTGAATTATTTATTTGCATCAGTAGAAGTTAGAGGTGAAGTGACAGGAGGTTGGAGAAAACTGCATAATGAAGAGTTTCGTAACTTGTACGCTCCTCCAAGTATAATTAGAATGACCAAATCAAGGATGAGATGGGCAGGGCGTGTAGAACGAATATGGAGAGGAGAAATGTATATAGGATATTGATGGGAAAGCCGGAAGGAAGGAGACCACTGGGAAGACCAAAGCGTAGGTGGGTGGACAATATTAAAATGGATCTCAAAGAGATAGGATGGGATAGTGTGGTTTGGATTGATATGGCTCAGGTTAGGGACCAGTGGAGGGCTCGTGTGAACATGGCAATGAACCTTTGGGTCCCATAAAATGCTGGGAAGTTCTTGAGTAGCTGCAGAATTGGCAGTTTCTCAAGAAGGGCTCAGCTCGATGAGAGAGTACCAGTAGAAGTTACTTATTAGGTGTAGCATCAACTTGGATAACTTAATGACTAATTGTCAGTCAGTGCAGCATCTGCCACACAATATACAATAGCAAACAGATTGTTATTCAAACTATCATTTTGATTTTGTTTGTTACAGTATAGTTACTTTTAGGTTTAGGGCTCCCTTTACATATACAGTACACTCAAACACACCTGTGAGCCCGGTTTTGTATTTGGGCATAGGAGAGTGGACTGTTGACTTCTTATAGTGTATATTGTTCTTCTTTGTTGTGTTATTAAAGTTATTATGGTTTAACATGATTTAATGACTGGCCATACATGAACCCTTCTCAGAAAGCCATGTATGTTCAATGAGATCAGAATTTCATCACCTTTGCCCAGTCCATGTGTCATGGCTATTTTTAGTCTTGGGAATTGAGATATCCAGTTGAATGAAGATAGAACCTGTGGTTGCACCTGAAAGGCTCTCTTCGTTCATTCATTCATTTATTCGTTATAAGCTATATGCCTTACACATGCATTATACTCTACAGAATTTGTTAACTTCCTATCAGGTAGATCATGGAAGTGGGTAGATTCACCGCTGAACTGCATATTGAAAACTGTGCTTTTGTATGTGTGTTGCTGTTGAAAAGTGAGCAAGAATATGGTTCTGGTACCACTGCCAGTCATGAGAGGTTACATTTTTGCAGGACTGGACTTGCAGATCATGATTCACCACTGCATTGAGTCCATGTGTTTTATTTATAACTGTGGAGAATGATAAAAGATGAAACTGAAGTGGAAAGTATAGAGAAACAGCAAAAATAGATCAACATCACCCCAATGGAATCGTTCATTTGAGTTTTTGGTAAGTTCTGAGAGGGAAGTAAGTCTGTTTAGACAGTGAAGGTCCAGAAACTGAAGATGTTTATATTGTTGTTTGTTGAAGGCTGCTGTGCTTTGTCAGTTCCTGGAAGAAGTGGATTATACCACAGCATTCAAGAGCCTTGGTGACATCAAGAGTAGCACATGTAGCGATGCAATGGATTCTTACTACTCATGCATTTGGGACACAACCATTCTGGAATACCTTGTTCATTTGCATACCAAGAGGGGAGAACACCACCGTAAACAGCAGGCTGTAAGTAACACCCTTTCAACCCTCTATTTTGTGGCAGAATAAACAGGGTTCAGCAAATTTCAGATACAGCATTTTAAATTTTCATTGTGACTGAATGCAATGAAATCTTCTCAGGTCATCAACTGGAATTAGTATCTGATGTTTCACAGACAGTTTTTCTCTCCATCATTAGAGTTTGGCATCACCCCCTGATGATGGAGACAGTCTGTGAAGTGTTTAATACTAATTCCATTTCTACATAGCTGTTTGCCTGAGAAGACTATTTAATTTTAGATTTTTGTTGTGACCACTCTATAGTGTAGACTGTGTGGACTTTTTCGTATTGTAAAACCACATTTTATTGGAAGATACATTTGATGTATGGAAGAATTTCGCTGCAACCCGTGTGCAACTTAATGTTATTGGCTAGCAGTATCATGTCATGAATGCATTATGCTACCATCTGTTTGCAGCATTCAGGCTGCTAAATGGCCACAGCCACTGCCGAGAGCTCATTCGGTAAAAAGGTTAGCTACTGTCAACTACTAGCCTATGCATACTAGGCCTCCCAAATCCTGATTTCATAGAAAAATGAATAATTTTGCCACCCTGATCTCTTTAACTACAGTGCTTCTTACTCCATTTTTAGAAGGGCATCTAACTAATATGACTTCACTCATCTGTCAGGAGAAAGTTTAGCAGCAATGCATATTTCATTTAAATCAATCGAACATACTCCTACTGAAATGCCCTGGACATTGTGAACTGTAATGTACATAGAAGACATATTCATCAATGTTTAGGAAAGCTGAATTTGCACTGACTTGAATTAAAAGTCTGTTTCCATCAGAGATATTTGTATTCAGACTCATAACTTTGTTCACAATTACACTTGAAAGCTGTAACCCAGAAGCAGCTTCTGTAGTACAACAGGTACAAAAGTGGTCAGTGACATTGAAAACCTTACCAAATGCACACCATCTAGAGTGAGGGAAAGCTCTCAGTGGACATCTATTGTAAATAGTGCGGAGGAGAACAGAGCAAAATTTTGCAAGCGTTAAAATGAGAAGCCGCTTTTCAGTGCACTCTATAGCATGTACACGGTAACACTTATAGAACTGCAGGACGTCCTGAAGGGGAGTGCACAGGCAGGACAAAATGGAGCAATGAACAAAACCTCATTGGAATCAACAGTCCAGGATGATGACTTCCAGAAAGTAAAGAGACGCAAGAGCCATATCTCTAATGATAACTCAGAGACGGCCAAGAAAATGACCAAATCAATCCCAGTATCCACAGCTGTCAAGCAGACTCCAAAAGCAGTGCCAACTTGCAACTTCTTCACACCTCTCAGAACTAATGACATGCACACGGAGACAAGTGGAGCAGAGAAAATGGAGCAGGAAGCTCCCAGAAAATCAGGTAGGCCGCCACCAATAGTGATGACTTCTACCATAAACCTAATTTGACTCCAAAGCAACCTAAAAGAACTTGTCAAAGGAGAGTACGAATTCCAAAAAACACAAAATGGAACTTGTATTACAACGAAAGAAATGACGGACTATTCAGTCATGAGATCCTACCTGGAGAAAAATAATCTCCAGTATTTCCCCTTCTCTCCAAATTCTGAAAAGCCTATCAAGGTAGTAATCCACCACCTTCCCGCAGACATGCCAGCAGAAGATATTTCCAACAGCCTTGATGGTTTAGGCTTCAACGTCATCAACGTGAGGCAGTTGATGACCAATCAAAGAGCATGAAATGGACAGACCTACGTGGAATCCCTACTGCTCCTCCTTGTTACCTTAATAAGAAATGTAAAATCTCAAGAGATATTCAAGCTGAATAGCCTTAACCATGTAATTATTAAGGTAGAATCATATAGAGCTCAAACTGGCCTTACACAGTGCTACAGTTGCCAAAACTTTGGCCATGTCTGAGCCAACTGCAAGCAAGTCCAAGATGTCTGTGGTGTGGTGGTGGCCACCTGCATAAGGAAGGCCCCAAAAAGACGAATACAGAATCTTCGCCAAGTTGCTGCAATTGCACCCTAGTAGAAGGAGAGAAACCTCATCCAGCGTCATACCGAGGTTGCAACCATGTGAAAGGGGAAGAGCACAACGGGCTCCCAAGGGAGCTGGGAGGACATTCTTCTCTAAGTTGACCTCACCAGAGCAATCGTACGCAGCTGCACTGCTTCAAGACAATCATCACCAACCAAAGGCACCGCAGACAGAGGGGAAAAGCGTCTGGCACCCCGTGCAGCAGTATGTACCACAACAGGAATTTCAAAAACAGGTCTGTCAGTACAGGTTCCCAGTGCATCTAACAGTGACACTATGGCCACTATAGTACAGCAGCAGGTGCCGCAACAGGAATTTCAGAAAAGAGGTCTGTCAGTACAGGCTCCCAGTTCATCTAACAATGACACTGTAGCCACTATAGTCCATCAGATCATGACAGAGCTAAGTGGAGCTCTATCACAATGGTAATGTAATGGTCATTACAAAAAATGGTACTTAATTTAATGCAACAAAATGGCTGCTAGAGTTCATAGGCCGCTCAGTCATAGCATTTAATGCAAATGGCATTTGGAGGCAGCGCTGTGAGCTCAGTAAACAGCTGCAAGACTTACATGTAGATGTGGCTTTTATCTCAGACACATCTCAAACCCCATGATAGATTCTTTATTCCTAATTATCACTTTTATCATACTGACGGCTTCGCAGGAAGAAAAGGTGGAACTGCCGTTGCAGTGAGAAAAGGCATTCCCACAACCATGTAGACCTGCCTCCACTTGTTTCAGTAGAAGCCACAGGGGTTTGCATACCGATTGGTAATAGTGAAATACTACTTGCAGCAGTATATAAGTCCTGAGGCCACACCTGGAGTGATGCAGATATCACTGAGCTCTTAAGCTTTAGACATAAGTCGATACTGGCAGGAGATCTGAATGCTGAACATCCATTTTGGAATAGTGTCATTTCCAACCCTTCAGGTGTGAAACTGCTGAATTTACTGCATGTAAATGAGTTTGAAATACCAGCACCCAATGTCACACTCATTACTCTCCTACATGAAATGGTGACGTGCTCGATATTGTTGTGCACAAGAATGTCCAGCTGTCAGAAGTCATTGTCTCTGATATTCTGGACACAGATCACCTACCAATTGTTTTCCACATGCTAGATCATGTTAGAACTAGGATTCTTTTAGATCCTGTTGACAAATTCACTGATTGGAAGCGGTTTCAGAGCTTGGCCTCTGAATTAATTTCACCTAGAATCCAAATTTACTCGGATGAAGAAGCCAATAAAGCGGTCCGTGACTTTACTGCCTCTATAGCTTCGGCGTATTGGCTATTGACAAGCAAAATTACACTCTCAGACCTTAATAAGGACATACCTGGTCTGGAAAGTTTGCTGAAACATAAGCGGAGGTTAAGGAAACTGTGGCAAGTAACTCGGGATCCAGCGTGTAAAACGGCACTCAATTGGGTCGCCAAAACCATCAGACAAATGACCCGTAGACAGGCACTAGAACAGTGGGAAACAAAAATAGGGAACTGTGAGGTCACACCTCAAGCTCTATGGCCTATTGCAAAATCGCTTAAGAAAAGGGATGGACCAAAGGCACCAACCGCTGTTCATGGACGTTTAGAAATAACATATCACCCTGATGAGAAAGCCAACGTGATAGCAGATTGTTTAGAAAACCAGTTCACATCTCAAGACCTGTGTGACGAAAGCCATGTGCGACAGGTAGAGACTACAGTCCAAGCCCTGCTTGCATCTGTAGAACGCACTCCGTTGAGGAAAGTACGACCTTGTGACACACACAAATTAACAAATGCATTAAAACTGTGAAAGGCTTGTGGCCTTGATAGTATTCCAAACAAATGCCTTAGGCATCTTCCAAGAAGACCACTGGTACATCTGACACATTTATTTAGTCACTGTCTTTAGCTGTTGCATTTTCCAAAGCCTTGCAAGGAAGCAAAGGTTATAATGTTACCGAAACCCAGTAAGGACACAAAATTTCCTCAAAATTTATGCCCGATTAGCCTCTTGTCTACAACAAGCAAGCTATTTGAAAAAGTTATTCTGAAAATAGTCCAAAAGCACATTGAAGGAAAAGGCCTGATTAATGCAAGCCAGTTTGGTTTCCATGCCCGTCATAGCACAACATTTCAATGTATGAGGCTTACGACCACGTAACCTTCAATTTCAGCATGTCTACAGCTACTGTGTTCTGGAATATTGAAAAAGCCTTTGATATAACATGCACATTGGCTTGCTATATAAATTATCTACATTACAATTTTCGATAAGTCTAGTCAAATAGACTTGAGAGGATTCTGACGATAGTGTATGCTGTACGGAACTATAAGGCTTATTTTGGACTTTATCCATCGTCTGGTATATATAAGACAAAAAAAAAAACAACGTTTTGCAGGCTGGATCTGTCTCCATCCTCGTTTTGAACTTAATTCATACCACTGTTTCATCACATTTTTGTCGTGCATGCTTGGCACAAAAGTTTTATTGTCTTTTATTGTGATTTTATTCTTATCTCTCAATGATGGAACCTGTTGTCAGGTGTTCATAGGCTGTTCTCTACTGACCAGGGTTTGTCCAGTGATTGAGACTAGCTCTTTCTAACGGGACCAACTGAGTACATCTATCCTGACCTATCGACTTGAGGATGGAGACAGATCCAGTCTCCGAGACGTGGTTTTTTGTCTTATATATAAAGTCCAAAATAAGCCTAATAGTTCTGTACAAGTCTAATCAAGCTTATTAGCTCTTTCTCAGTGAAAATTCAGAGTTTCAGTCAGAAGGTGAAATGTCTACACCAAGGGATGTACAAGCAGGAGTGCCACAAGGTTCTGTTCTCTCCCCCACACTGTACAGTCTATGTATAAATGATACACCCCAAACACCTGGTGTCTATATAGGTCTGTTTGCTGATGACACCTGTATATATGGGAGACTGCAAAGAGGGTTATGTTCTCAGAAAGCTGCCGTGAGGTCTCAGTGCTATTGAGACATGGTGTGAACACTGGAACATAAAATTCAATGAAGATAAAACTTGGGCAATATACTTTTCTCATAGATTTAGGCCCTGTTAGACTCATCTTACATTGAATGGGCAGAATATCCCCCTTGTGAATCATGTAAAATACCTGGGTATAATCTTCGATAAGAGGATTACATGGAGACTTTACATAGAAATGATTGAAGCCAAGGCCTTCAGAACATTTATTAGAATCTACTCCCTATTCAAAAGTGAGCGTTTAAATGCAGATATTAAACTAACCCTCTATAAGGCACTGATCAGATCAGTAATGACTTACGCTTGTCCTGCCTGGGAATTAGTGACAGACACCTACCTCAAAAAATTGCACCATCTGCAAAACAATGTTTTTGGCACCATTGGAAATTTTCACAGGTGCACACCAGTCTGCGACTTGCACACAGCTTTCAACTTTCCATATGTATATGATTATATAACAAAATTGTGCAGATAACAAACACAAGTCATACAAAATCATGAGAATGAACATGTTCGCAGTGTAGGACAAGGTGAAGCCAGACACAGAAAATATAAGAGGCTTAAACTTGGCGGTGTTCAAGCTTATGACCGTTCAGATGTCCATAAGATATGTAAGTTAGGCATGATCTGCTCTGTAAAGCCTGTACTGACAGAGGACTTGTTTATTGTGCAAAAGGAAGAACTTTCGATAACATGTTATATGTGCAAAATATACACGTGATGAAAGGTCAAGTGTATTCATAAGAGACAAACCCATCTTCTCGTCAGAGATGTTACACAAGGACTATTACCATAAGAGTTCAGTTGGAAAAAAAAAATCTCTGGTCATGGGCCTCAAGAGGCCTGACACCAAGATGAACTGATTGGCGGTAAACCGCCAGATGTCAGGTAACTTTGAATTAACAAAAATGTGGTCATTGGCCTCAGATAGGGCTGTAGTTGCAGCCATCTTTAGAGTAAATCAGTGAGACTGTTATAGTTACTTGTAGTTACAAGGTATAAATGTTCAGTAAATCCCATTGTCCATGCAAATCCCTGATCTGCCCACTAACACATGACAGTGCTATGTAAACAGATGAGAAGAGTCTTAATATTAAACTGTTCGAGACAAAGAATTCCAAAGCCATTGAGAAATATAAAAAAGATACTGGCTGAACAGAATCTGATTTGTGCATTATCAATGAGAAACACTCTTGAGACACTTCTAGAAAAGTAATGGAACTTGAATTAACTATTCTCTGGTGTTCTGAAATCGCTTCACAGTTGTAGCAATAGCATGCCATTAGACTTCATCCAGGCTCATCTCGGTTCACTGCCCATCATTTCAAAACCTGTGTCCATTAGGCCCATTTTAATATTGTCCTCTGAAATTCTCCTTGGTCTTCCAAGTGATGAAGTTTCTTCACCAAGCTTTAGAACATTTGTTTTTATCATATGCTGTACATGCCCCATTCAGTGTAATGTAAATTAGTCTCGCATTTCTTGGGGAGGAAAGTGTTTATACCTAGGCCCCCAAACTTAGCTCTGAATTGCAATAAAATATTAAGTGAAATTTAATACAAATATTATGTTTTTGGATATTATCTGTCATCTTGTCTTTATCTAAATACCATCTTGCTTATTTTTCAAAACACGTTTCAGAGACTGGAATCTGTCTCCGTCTTCAGGTAAAACCTACTCAGTTGGACCCAATCAATAGAGCTAGTTCCTGTCTCCGGAAATATGTGTTTAGATAAAAACAAGACAGTGGATAATGTCTAAAAACATAATATTTGTACTAATGTACCATTGTCACAAACTTTTAGATCTTAAGTGAAACTTGATAGATAGTATGTAAATGTAACTACATATATGCAGACATATATGACTGACTACACCTAAATGGAAATAAGGAAGAAGGAATATAATAAAGTGTGAACTTTTGTGTGTGAGTAGTATTGACCTGTACTTGTCAGATCTTGGCCACTGTAATGATAAATAAAACTCCCATTATCTGGCATGTGTGGGGAATGGTATGTTTCAATTACATGAATGTGGAAATTACTTGAGAACTTGGAGAAACCAGATTTTCACGTGAATTTCACCCTCATCTGACCGCCTCTGTGATCTAGTGGTCAGAGGTCCGGGTTTGATTCCCGGTGCTACCAGATTTTCTGAGAAGTAGCGGATCTGGAACATGGTCCATTCAGCCTTGTGAGGATAATTGAGGAGCTATTTCAAGGAAATGGCGGCTCCTGTCTAGAAAACCAAAATTAACGGCTGTGCAGATTCGTTGCGCTGACCACACGACACCCTCTACCTGCTAAAGTTGGCACTAACTTCACTGACAAGCGGCGGTCACTCGGTCGGTATAGTTCACTTGCAGGCTAAACCCATGGAGTCATTTTTCCCCCACTCTCTTCCTATCACAAATTTCCATTTCTGCTTTATAGTGAAAAGAGTGTGTTTTCACTTTAGTGCTTGCACTGAACTCTTGTTAGGTGACATAGTGGGTTGCTGGGCAAAAGATTTACGATATACTATATGTGATCATAGATTCAACTAGCCTTTACAATTGTATGACATCTGCATGAGGAAGGATGATAGGTAGCTGTGTCAGTAGTGGATGGGAGAACTACCACATGGCAGGTGAATGTATGTGCATTTCAACTTCATTTTTAAAGTAACTTCATGGAAGTGGTATATTCTATTTGAAAGTTTTGCCAGTTACAGAAGAATTCTAGATGCCTGGGCAGTGAATAACCAGGAGTTTACTGCAGAATAATACCAGAAAATGTTGACATAATTCAAAACTAAATGCCAAAATGCACATAATGTAGCAGTGCTCTTACTAACAGCTCATTGTAAAATGGTTAATTTGTCTTAGCTAATAATGTCATTACTTAATTTGTTACAGATCAAAGTGATTGGTTTGCTAGAATTAAATGCTAATAATAATGAAGAGATACAAAGAGAAGCTGCCAATATCCGAAAGTCACGCTTCCTGCGAGCCATGGCTAGACAGTATGTATGCTGGATCTGAATACACTTGTGTGCAGAACAGTTTATAAATCTGTTTAATATTAAACTAATTCCATTCCAGTATTTAATCACTTCATTGTATATAAGTAGAAGTGTTAAACAAGATCCATTTATATATGAATGAATAATATTCATCTTTAATCCTTTCCTCCTCCTAACATAAACATAAAAAAAATCAAAGGACTCTGCCCCTTCTAACACAGTGCATCATGGTGACTGCCCTGAGATGAAGGAGCGAGTTCTTCTGAAGTGTAGGTAACCCCCAGATCATAATGTTGTGAAATTTGGGGAAAGAAACATTACTTAAAAAATTCTTGATTGACCAGCAGTCTAATGACCTACAGAGTACAATCTTCTCTTTAGGAAAATCAAGGTACATGGTCTGTTCAAAACGTTTTGGAACTATTTTTTTTAATAATTTTTCAGACATGCCTGCAACTGAGTGAGCCTTAGTGTTTCAGCATTTCAGGATAATACCAGTGATTCACTCTTTGTCCCTGATGTAAGAATTCATGATGCACAACACCCTCAATATAAAGAAAGATGTCAACATGACTTTCATAAGATAAATGATATAAACTCCGTCTCAAGTGCAAACAATATATTTGTGTCTTTGATCTTGCTCCCTACACTACATGTTTCGGCCTCAGACGGCCATCATCAGGTGTATAACACTCACGTCGCTGTCACACTGCACCCAGTTCAAAATTTAACATCTAAAACACTCTCCCTGTCATTATCAACTTCTACTTCGTTGATAGCTGTCCACCCGTAGATTACTTCACACATATTAATTTTTTGATAATGTTGATATCTTGAAAGCTTTTAATGAAAGTCTCTCATACTTAAATTTAAAAAAAAATCAACAGATCATGAAGTGATACAGGCCACAGACACAGACAGATAGACATGACCTCCCTATAAGACATTCTTTTCTTACTTTGTAATGAGTGCTTGATACATCATGACTATCGGTATTGAAGAGAAGGGGGGGTGGGGGGCTGAAGCTGCCATTTATGTGCATCCTGCACTTCATAGGGTGTGATGGCCATGTCCACCATGAGCTTGCTTGCAGTAGTAGTATCCATTGATCTGGTTCAGTCTGTTCATCCTTTGGAGACATTGGGTGGACTGAGGCTGTGTGGCATTTCAGTAGTGGTATCTACATATGAACAATCAATATAGCCACTCTCTGGGGGTGCCTTGCTCCTCTTGCAAGCATGACTGATCTGGCCTACATTGTTCATAATCTTCATCATCCACAGTCTTGTTATCATTTTCAGATTCCTCACTATCAGTGTCCAGTCTAACTCGGGTATCTGGTCAGGCTTTGTCAAGTCATGGTTGTGAATTACTGATAATACATTTTGTTTTTGCCTACCCTCATGCATAGATGTGAGCTAAGCTATTATGAACTGTCAGGCAGAGTTCATTCTGAGAATGAAACCCAACCCACTTCACATAAATTGTGTTTGTTGATATGTATTTTATAGTTGTTGAGTTGACAGCTGTGGCTGACCTTATCACATCCCTAGAGACAGACACTTACTGCAGACGTAACCAAGGCACCTTATAATGTTGGTGATTTTGCATTCCCAAGAAAGAATGTTCATATTCTGACATATACAAATTACATTCCCATATTGGAATGCATATATATTAAAGGTTAAAATGTTTAAAGACATTAATACATTTTTGTACTGAAATTCAAGATGACTGTTTTTTGACTCTGAATACAGGGTAATAAACTTCACATTCCATTCAGTTACATACTAAGCATGTGTGAGAATCACATATCAGTTCAAGACTAGAAGAAGAATTTTCTCTGATAGACCACTTTTTTACTGTAATAATTTACACTGAAGTGCCAAAAGTCATGGGATAGGTACCTAGTATCGTGTAGGACCCCGGCTAGCCCGGCAAAGTGCAGCAACTCGACGTGCCATCGATTCCACAAGTGGACGGAAGACCTCTGGAGAGAGTTGAGCCATGCCGTCTGGATAGCTGCCCACAGCTCCCTGGTATTTGTAGGTGCAGGATTTGGGGTGCGAATGGACCTCTCCACCACATCCCATAAATGCTCAATTAGGTTCATGTAGGGCGAACGTGGTGGCCACACCATTTGTTGGAACTTTCTAGAATGCTCCTCAAACCAATTATGGACAACTCTGGCCCGATGATACGGTGCACTGTCCTGCTGGAATATCCCATCATTGTGGGGGGTACACGAAGTCCATGAAGGGCTGCAAATGGTCACCAAGCACTGTAACGTAGTGATCACCGGTCAATGACGTTTAGGTGGACGAGTGTACCCAACTCATGCCACGTGAACACACCCCACACCAGTATGGAACCACCACCAGCCTGCACGGTGCCTTGTTGACAACTGGGGTCTGCGCCACACCTGAACCCTACCATCTGCCCGAAACAACTGGTACCCTGACTCATTGGACCACACCACATGTTGCCAATCCTCCAGGGTCCAATTAGCGACGTCACAAGCCCAGGTGAGGCGGTGTCCAGTCGTGGTGTTAACAGAGGTACTCTGGATGGTCTTCCACTCCCATATCCTATGGAAGCTAAAGAACGCTGCACTGACCTTCTGGATATGCATCTGGTACCTCGCGCATTGAATGTGGATGTGATTTCAGCCAGTGTCGCTTGTCTGTTACCACGCACAATTCTAGCTAGATGCCGCTGGTCACGATCATTAAGCACCTGGGGTCAGCCACTGCGCTGTCCGTGGTGGGTGGAAATGCCTTCCACAAGGTATTCCCGGTACACACGTGACACCGTGGATCGAGGAATTTTGAATGACCGCACAACTTCGGAAATGGAATGTCCCATCCGCCTGGCACCCATTATCATGCCCCATTCAAACTCCGATAATTCACATCGGCTTGCCATGAGCAGACTGGCCGGTGTTCAACCTGACTCACGAGAGAACACCTCACAACTGATATACTCTGGGCATTCCCAAGCCGTCAAGGGATGGTGGCGCCACTTAAAAATAAACTTATATCCCATGACTTTTGGCACTTGAGTGTATAACACTAGCCATTCTTCCATGATGCACTAAAGCATACTACATATTTACCTAAATGGAAAATGATTCTGGATGTAAGATGACCCTATATTAAGAAATATATCTGCACAGAAGTAATTATATGAATTATTTTAATAATTTTACTACAGGCATATGAACAATATCAGAAAGCATGTTACAGATGAGATTCATTAAGATATGTTCCCTTGTTAGAGTCATAGCCTTTATTCAGTTTTACGAGTCTTCCTCTCTTCACCTTTCCTTTTATCTGTCTCAGCTCGTGTCTCACAATCCCTGTGTGCACTTCATGTTCGCTGTCAATATTCCCAACTTTCTCCTCAGCCTGTCTTCCATCTGTTTCATCAGATAACATTTTCTAAATCCTTGATTATCACTTCTGTAAAGAAAATCACTAAGGTTTTGCGTTACTGGCACAAAAGTTATACATTAGGCCTCTTTATTGTGCCAGTGGTTTCAGAACATGGTCCCCTGCCAAGAGCCATTTCAAATGATCCCTAATAAGCTTATTTACTATAAAATGTATTTACAAGTCATCCCTCCAGTTTTACAGTGTTAATTTGTTCTGATATACTATCTTTATTAAAATGGGGTGTAAATTACCATTATCTATTTTGCTATGCTGAGTACATATTGTTAAAACCCCAACACTCATACCAAGACCATCTTCAAGGGACATATCATATTAAAGTAAACATTACAAGTCATATATATAAAAATAAAGGATTAAAATATGGGTCATAAATTCCTTATAAAAAGTTAAAACTAATACATGTTATAACTCACTGACATGGGCTGCAGTTGGTGTAATTCCACTGATTATGGTATATTATCTTGTATTTTAAGTGTTGATAAAGTGGAGCTCTGCAGTTCCATTGTGGTTCTTAGTAACCATATGTATTATAGAATACATATTATTAGTAGCTTCATAAGTGGCTTTTCACTTCAGTATCACACATAGCAGTTTTATGCTGAGTGCCAATTCTGTCAATATTACAGTCACAAGCACCTTTTTACTGCCTCAAGTTTTCATCACAGTGGATTTTGCACCTCCACCATCAATGGTGTAAGTGGATGGCACATAAAAATGCACCAGCATTTCATCAACATTGCAACAAAGTGTGATGGTTTAAGTTCTTACAAAGTGAAGACCTTCGCTATAAAGAAAACATGTTCCTCTGAAGCATTTTTAGACAGTCAGGCAAAATATACCAGCCCCTTTTGACTTGATCCTAACATGCAAAGCAAAAGCAGTTAATAGAAAATTCTCAATATTTGAGAATAAAAATCAACATTTGAATTGAATTCAAGAACTATTTTCCCTTGATTCAGTCTCAAAAATTTGAGATATGTCCCTAGTATATAACAATATTAAATTGAGGTAGAGATTCCATGCAGGGACTGGATTTAAGTTCACTAAATGCAGGTAAAAAATATACATTTGCCTTTCCCTGTAGTAACAAAAAATGCATGCTACATCCAGTAAAATCTTTGATCAAGAAATCTAAGTTGGGATTCTGCAGTAATGAGTACTCACAACAAGAACTTTTCTTTATATTATGAACGCTTGTTATAATAGACTTTTGCTATATTTCCAATTAATATAAATGGTTATTCACATTTCAGACAAAGCTTTATTATTCTGCTGTGTAGTACCATTCTTTCAAATATACAGCAAGTGAGTACATAACTACAATACAACAATTCCGTAAGTGTTGCTAAATTGCAGATCCCATACAATATCTGCTTGGTGATGCTGTATCTGACACACATTAATTTAAATGATGGTCTGACAGGATGAAGTGAAACTATGCAGGACATGTTACATGTAGGCATATGTGTAAGATTTGTAAGAATGTCGACTCATTTTGGTTTTCGAAACTTTCCTCCCCCAACTTTTGCTTTCTTCTTCGCTCCAGTCTTTTCCTCTGCCTGGAAAGAAAATACTGTTTCACTTCCAGCCCTTTCTTAACAGTTCAAGAGGAAAAGATGATCTTTATCTGTATCAGCCACATGCCTAAGCAAATAAACCATGTGACAGTTCTCTCTCTCCCTCATGCACACATACATGAGCCCTATAAGTAATTAAATAAAAATTAGCCTAACTACAGTTCTAGATACACTGTTGCATTCCAGTTTGTCTGTTATTTGGCCAAATGACCTTTCGTTGAATGTTTGAAGACTTCAGTTAACTATGACAGTGATCCAAGGTTGACATAGACTTCAGTTTTTTTAACAAAGGACTATACATCCAGAATCACTTATCTCCCTTTATGCCAAAGTAACTTCCCATGCTAGCTGTTACTGATGTCAACAGCATAAAAGGCTTTATCCCGACTACATAGCCAGTTCAGAACATCCCATTTGAGTTCATCATTTTGAAATTTCTGTCCTAGATCCACAGTCATTGGTCCAAACAAATGCAAGTCACTGGAGGCTAACTTAGGGCTGTGATTTCCTGCCCCACTGTTGCCAAATTTGCCATATGTGGATGAGTATTTTCATGCAGTAGTACCATCATCTTTGACACTGTGTATTAATTGTTACATCATGTGAAAGAGAATCAACACATGTCACTCCTGAATCGGAAAACACACTTGCCATGATCTTGTTGGCTGACAACTGTATCTTGACTTCTTCATACAGTCTTCAGAAAACTTACTGTGCCAATCACAGACACTTGTCTGTGACATAGTCTCTTCCCCATACACTGTATTTAACCTACAAAGAATTACTTCTGGTTTCACTTTCTCTTAAACTAGGATTCTGATAATACAGCGCTGTTCTGCACTAGGAGAGACAAAATCTGACACCATCTTTTACTAGATCTAATGCAAAGAAGCAGGGTGTATGATCACTAGGTGGGCAGTGACTGCACTATTGCCACTAAATGCCCATACAAGTTTTTTCTCATGTCCATATCTTCAGGGAAAAAATAAAGTCCAGGTCAACCTTGAACTACCTACACAGATGCAGTAGAAGGAAACATGATTTTATGATGGTGGTATTCTCACATTTCATACGCTTATCCTCAAATCATAATTCCATACATCTATAAATGACTCCATCTTACAGGTTCATCTTAAATAGTTATTTTCCTGGTGACAAAAGCACTCATAGTGGGTGTCTAGAAACATTTAATATGCTGAACAAAGAAATGAGAACATCTTTTATATAGAAATAAGTTTAAGCAATTGCTTTCTTCTAAGCATGTAACAGCATGGAGAAATTTAGTGAAATGGTACTTCCTTAGTCTGGAAGTATGAAGGAAATTTTCTGCTGATTGCCACCACAGATCTGTCCTTACCTTACGTTTATTAGCTGTGTTATTGGTGTTGGGAAGAACTTTAAAGAAAGAATCAAGTCGTCCTTGGGTTGTTCCAGTTCGAGCTTTGGTCAATTTTTTTGCTCCATTTCTGACTCTGTCTTCATTGAAAGCTTTATCTCCACATAAATATTTAACAAGGCCCTCCTCATCCGGCTCTAACCACTTCAACTAAAATACACAACAGTTATGACTCTTACTAATACAGTGATCTTTTGCATATATTTTAGATATAAAATTTTACCATGTAGAAACCTCCCCCTGAAATGTCTGTAAACTTCTATCACAATACATGCATCATATTGCATACTGTTGCAGTCACCACCATGAAAATCTCAAGTCTGACAAATCCCCCCCCCCCAAACCCAAAGGATCATTACCACATTCATAGGAGCCCACATTATAGAATACATTTTTTTAATTGATGGCACTATGTCAGCTGAACTCCTTGAAGGACTTTTAGAATCTGCAAAACTAACCTCAATTTTTTCTGGATCTGTTACTTCTGGTTCCAGGAACAGTTGTCGAGCCTCTTTGTACATCCAGTCTTCAGCAACAGAATATTTCTTTCTATCTACATTCTTGAGAACGGTTTCCAAATTTCGATGCTGTTTAATCAGATCTATAGCTCTCTTAGGCCCAATACCTTTAATGCTGTCACAGTAGTCACAACCCAACAAAATGCATAGGTCAATGAACTGTAGGGGGAAAAAAAGAAGTTCAGGTTCCTTCATTGTAAACATAACCCAGTATGAGTATATGAAGACCTGCAGTAGAATTAGCCATAACCTATTCATAATTAAGAGGCTATCTAAAATACTTGATTTAAATTAAAGAAGAATGTTGTATTACGATTTGATCTATCCTCATCTATCTTATGGAATAATACAGTGCGTACAATCAAGTGCGCGCCGCGGCTGCAATTTGCCGTGAGTCATACCACCGCAGAACGGATGCAGTCACGGGGAGGAGTTGCAACACTCCCCGCGACTGCATCCGTTCTGCGGTGGTATGACTCACGGCAAATTGCAGCCGCGGCGCGCACTTGATTGTACGCACTGTA